GCTTGGCAGTGCTAGGTTAACGGTTGGACTCGATGATCTGAAGGGTCTTTTCCAACCTTAATGATTCTATGATTCGAAATCCTCCATGATGGCGAATGGGGCACTGTGCGCGACGACAGCTGCAGCCTGATGGACGCCAAAGTGATGTGCAGGGAGGTGCGCTGTGGCCAAGCACTGTCAGCTCTGTTCGGGGCTGCCTTTGGGCAGGGCTTGGGGCCCATCTGGCCGGACGAAGTGACCCGTGCTGGGACGGAAGCTGCCCTTTCTCTGTGCCGGGCCAGGTCCTGGGAAGCCATCGCTGCAGCCATGGAGAGGATGCTGGTGTTGAATGCTCTTGACTCCTGCCCCATCAGGGCTGGCACCCAGCTATCATAGTCTGTCTTTTTTTTTTTTTTTTTTGAGGGAGGGGTAGAGAAAAGAGCAGAAGACCTTGGAAATGGTCCTGGATGTAGATGTCTCCATTGCAGCCCTGCCAATGGAGGGAGGAAGAATCCCCTGATGGGTGGGCGTGCTGGGAAAGGGAAGAGGGAGCGTCAGAGGGGGCGTCCATCCAGATGCCACCTGCCAGGGAGGGTGATGAGTCTGGGGAGGTGGTGAGTGCCCGAGGGGAGCCTGCTCTTCTCATTTTGGGTGGGCAACCTCCTCACCTTCCAGCCGCGAGGTTCTGGGATGACTGAAGGACCAGGCAGCTCCAGCCCTGTCACCTCTCCTGGGACATCCAGATGGTTTTGGTGCTTGTCTCTTTTCAGAACCGACTCAGGTCTGAGCGGTGGATGGCTCCAGCCACTGCTCGGGGTGAGTCGAGGTCCACCACAACCAGCAGTGGGGGACAGTGTGTGATGACAGCTGGGACCTGAGTGGTCCACCGAGGTGGCCTGCTGGCAGCTAGGCTGTGGGCTGGCCATGTCAGCCCCTGGCAGGGCTCCCTTTGGGCACGGACACGGGCCCATCTGGCTGGACAAAGTGAACTGCACAGGGACGGAAGGTGCCATCACTGAATGCAGCTTCAAGCCCTGGGGAGCCTGTAACCCCAATCACGGTGAAGATGCAGGTGTCGCGTGCTCAGGTAAGCCTGGTCCAGGTCATGGCTTCAGGAAGAAGTTTTTCTGTAGGCACGCTTGCATCTAATTCCAGTTTGCTTCCCTCTCTGCACACGTTGTTTTCCTTTGGGTATAATGCCATTGCAAGCAACAGTCAAAACTGCTTGGGAGCTGAGGTAGCTCTGCTTCTGTAGGCATCATATCAATGGACTGTCTGGATGCACTCCTGCCCATTTGTGGTTATCCTCTCTCTGACACCTTAAAATGTTGGTTCTCACGTGGCTTGCCATGTCCATCATACACACCTGCTCTGGATGTTGAAGTGCCTGTGGTCAGAGGAGGCATTTGGCCATCGATGCTTGCCATGTGTGGCTGCAGGCTTCTCTATGTCCCAAGCTTCTTCTGGATCTCTAGAGGTAGTCCAAGATGGAAAGACATCCCCCCCATCCCTCCAGCTTGCAATGGGATGCCAGCTCTGTCTTACCAGAATACAAAACCTGGGTGACTTCAGGGACTATTTGCAGGGAGCTGCAGTAGAGCAGAGCAAACAGAGAAGCAGCATGGAAAGACTCTCCTCCTTGATGGAGCCAAGCCAGTCCAGCCTTCATTTGGCTAGAGTAAATAAACGCAGGTTTTAAAAGTCTTTCCTCGTTAGATGTCTTGTCTGAGGGAGACGCAGTCACTCTAGCAGACCTCCAAAGCATGCTTATGGTTTGGACGTGGATGTCCAAGAGTCTTCTTGGCATTGCCCCAGGGAAACGCTCTCTGTGAGGCATCCCGCAGTGTTTTTACCTTCTCCTGAATACAACCAGGTCTTTCTGTTGCTTCCAGTTGAAGATGCTGATGTGGATGGGGGAAGCATGATTATGCACTCATACCTTGTACAGTTGCACATCATCGCCAACACCAGCAGGGCGTCTACTTCAGAGGGCTGAGATGCACCATGTCCCCGTTTATTCATTTGTCTCATTCACCCTTCAGACCCCACGGAGCTACGGCTGGTGATCAACCCAAATCGCTGCGCTGGGCCTCTCGAGGTGCTTCAAAACTGGCAGTGGGGGTCCGTGTGTGACAACGGCTGGGACACGGAGGATGCCAAAGTGGTGTGCCAGCAGCTGGGCTGCAGTGCTCCAATCTCTGCTCCAGGTTGGGCTAGGTTTGGCAGGGGCTATGCCCCCATCTGGCTGGAGACAGTCAGCTGCCAGGGGACGGAGGCAGAGTGCAGAGCCCAGGTGTGGGGCATCCACAGCTGCCACCACGGGGAAGACGCTGATGTGGTGTTCTCAGGTGGCCCTCCCCATCGTGTTCCTCCCGCATGTCTGTAGGAAGAGCTGTGCCACCACCAAGCCATAGCTCCCTTTCCTCCAGAGGGCAAGGGAATGATAATTCCCTTGATACTAATGATACTAATGATAATCATGGTAATAAGGGTAAGGGATGCCAGGGGGATCCCATCACTGCTGCTTTTCCCATGTTCCCTGGCTCACTTTCAGCCCAAGTGGACAACCACTGAGCATCTCCATGGTGTGAATGACCATGCTGGGTCCCACTGGAATCCCTGTTTCGTGAAGGTGTCACATCAGGGAGCTGAGGATAGAGGGGGCCACGGTCCTGCATGAGATCCCATGCCCGGGATCATCTCCACCAGCCCTTCCTGAAGGGTTGTTGGCGTCCTTCTTTGTTCCAGACCCGATGGTGCTTCGGTTGGTGGATGGGACGGTCAAGGTGCTTCAGCAGCAGCAGTGGGGGACAGTGTGTCACGATGGCTGGGACCTGCATGACGCTGAGGTGGTGCACTGGCAGCTGGGCTGCGGGGTGGCGGTCGCAGCCCTGGGCTCGGCTCACTTTGGCCAGGAATGTGATCCCATCTGGCTGGATGAGGTGAACTGCACAGGGACCGAGTCCTCCCTCTCCAAATGCGGGGCCAAGCCGAAAGAAGTCCACAACTGACACCATGGAGAAGATGCTGGTGCAGTGTGCTCAGGTAGCTGCTGTTCCTCTGCTGATGAGCTCCTGGGTACCACCACTGTAGGAGCTCTGGGACCAGAGTTCCTTGCTTATCTCTGATGATGTTCTTTCCACATGGGAATCCGTAAATCTCTAACTCTGAGTCAAGACAAATGCTGAACATGGGGATTCATCCTCTATCTCACACCCAACACTTGCTTTCTACATCTCTAGCTCCACCACCACAAGGCAACGCCTCTCTGTCTTTCCATTTCAGACCCTACTGAGGTCCAGCTGGTGAACGGCTCAAATCGCTGCTCTGGGAGAGCTGAGGTGCTGTACAACCAGCGACGGGGAGGTGTGTGCGATGACAGCTGGGACCTGGACGATGCAGAGCTCAGTTTGGGATGGAGCGCAAGCCCATCTGGCTGGATGATGTGAACTGCACCAGCACTAAGGCTGCCCTCTCCGAGTGCAGGGCCAGACCATGGGGAGAGAGTAACTGCGACCACCAAGAAGATGCCAGTGTGGTGTGCCTGGGTAAGCCGCCTCATACTCCATCGTGGTGCAGCTCTGGAAGGAGCAATGTTGGCGCATGGGTAACTCAGTGGAGAAACACCTCTGCTCTGCTCACATTAAGCCTCTTTCCTCTGTATGGGAACCAGTCTCAGGTTGTCTGAGAGCTCCCCGTGGCCACTGTGAGGACTTTCTTCCAGAAGAACGAGTGTCAGTCCCCAACCACCACCTTGCTTTCCCCTATAAGCCCTTAGCAGAAGAGCTGAGGGACCAGTTATGAGCATCCTTTCCTTTTTCATATGTGCACGGTCCTAACGTGACACACATTGTCACTGTACCGTAAAGTCCATCGAACCTCCTCTCTATCTTGGGTCCATCTTATCTGGTTGGACGGCCAGGAGACCAGCATCTCGTGCCACTTGCGATGCGCTGGCCTCCTGCCACCACTCCAGATAGAGGTGGGTCTCCCATTCAGGCCTGTGTCACAGCTGCCCCCTCCTGGGTTTCTTGGATGCCTGAGGGCACCTAAAATGGGATCAGATGCCTGTGTTTATGCCAGTGAGTCTCCATGTCACCTTCCACCTGGCAACCGTTTGAGGACCCATCTTCCAATGCACAGGCAAGAAACACATACGTGTTTGACCTCCACGTCTTTCGTAATTCCGGGACCAGCTCAGCTCCAGCTGGTGAATGACTCCAGCCACTGCTCCAGGAGGGCCGAGATGCTTCATAACCAGCAGTGGGGGACAGTTTGTGACAACAGCTGGGACCTGAGCGATGCTGAGGTGGTGTGCCGGCAGACGGGCTGCGGGGTGGCCATGTCAGCTCCAGACTTGGCTCCGTTTGGGCCAGGGTCCAACCGTATCTGGCTGGGTGATGCTGAGTGCACGGGGGCAGAAGCTACCCTCTCCAAATGCAGGTCCAGGATGGGGGAGCTCATTAATTTCCACCATGGGGAAGATGCTGGTGGTGTGTTCTCAGGTAATTTTTTTTTTTTCTTGAATGGCATAATTCAGGGCAGTGTTGGGCTGTGTGGCTGGAAAGGGGGAGGGTGACTTTGCTGATGACGTGGTCTCCTCTGAGCCTGCGTAGCACTAAACCCCACGGAAGAGTTGAGGTCACTCTTCTGCAGAGGTCTGTCCACCTTGTTTGGTGACTGGTCTTGCTGATGAAACCCCAGGGGTGCAGAGGACCTGAGCAACCTGAGAAAAGCTGAGCACGAGAATCTGAGCAAAGCAATGAGAGACGCACAACCAAGCCTTCAAGGGGACGGGAAGAAAGAGGCTTTACTTAGGGACCTAGAAGGTGAGATGTAGAGTTTGTTGTAATCCAGAAAACCACCAAAAGCTGCTGGATCGAGAGCAGCAGGAAGAAGGGACCCATTGTACAAAGATGCCAGTGGTCAGGAAGGGAAGAGTTTTACAAATTCCACTGCTTTTATCCTTTTCCAGCAAGCATGTCTGAATTTTCTCTATTTCAGCAGTTTTCTTATTCTAGCTGACATTAATTAAAGCCTAGCTTTAAATATCCAGCATCCTTCCGGTGTTTGGGGATGTTCAATACAACGGCAAGACCAAGCATGTCTTTCTCAAAGGTCCAGGTTGCCAATGGCATAAAAGGAGCAAAAATGGGCAATGTACATTAGCCACTATGAGCAGCACAGGCATGGAAGGACACCTCCAAAAACGGTGTCCGCCTCATCCCATTTCAGACCCTGTGGTGTTGCAGCTGGTGAACGGCTTAAGCCTCTGTGCTGGGAGAGGTGAAGTGCTCCCCAGGCATCAGTGGGGGACTGTGTGTGGTGACAGCTGGGATGAAGAGGACGCCACAGTTGTGTGCCAGCAGCTGGGCTGTGGGACGGTGGTCTCGGCCCCTGATGCAGCTTGGTTTGGGCAAGGGTGCAATGCTGTCTGGCTGGATGACGTGAACTGCACGGGGAGGGAGGACACCCTCTCGGATTGCCTGGCCAGGCCATGGGGGGGACACAACTGTGACCATGGGGAAGACACCTGTGTGGTGTGCTCAGGTAACGTGGCCACCATCGGTTTGGAAAAGGGTCTGGGCATGCCCCAACCCTGGAAAAATTCAAGGTCAGGTTGGACGGGGCTCAGAGCAACCTGATCTAGTTGAAGATGTTCCTGCTCATTGCAGGGGGGTTGGACTAGATGACCTAGGGTCTGGAGCACAAGTCTTATGAGGAGCGGCTGAGGGAACTGGGGTTGTTTAGCCTGGAGAAAAGGAGGCTGAGGGGAGACCTTCTCGCTCTCTACAACTACCTGAAAGGAGGTTGTAGTGAGGTGGGGGTCGGTCTCTTTTCCCAAGTAACGAGCAATAGGACGAGAGGAAACGGCCTCAAGCTGCGCCAGGGGAGGTTTAGATTGGATATCAGGAAACATTTCTTCACTGAAAGGGCAGTCAGGCACTGGCACAGGCTGCCCAGGGAAGTGGTTGAGTCTCCATCCCTGGAGGTATTTAAAAGATGGGTAGATGTGGTGCTTAGGGACGTGGTTGTGTCTCCATCCCTGGAGGTATTTAAAAGATGGGTAGATGTGGTGCTTAGGGACGTGGTTGTGTCTCCATCCCTGGAGGTATTTAAAAGATGGGTAGATGTGGTGCTTAGGGACATGGTTTAGTGGTGGACTTGGCAGTGCTGGGTTAACAGTTGGACTTGATGATCTTAAGGGTCTTTTCCAACCTAAATGATTCTATGATTCTATGACCTTTAAAGGTCCCTTCCAACCCAAACCATTCTATGCTGGTGTGATCTTGCTCAAGCTTGGAGAGTGCACGCCTGCCAGTGGCTCAGGAGGCAGAAACAGGGATGTGCACACTGTAGAGTGAAGGGCTTTCATTCAGCACAAGCTGGGTCCTACGTTTGTAGACCCCACTGAAATCATCTTGAGCACCGTTAACAGTTTGATGATCTTAAGGGTCTTTTCCAACCTAAATGATTCTATGATTCTATGACCTTTAAAGGTCCCTTCCAACCCAAACCATTCTATGCTGGTGTGATCTTGCTCAAGCTTGGAGAGTGCACGCCTGCCAGTGGCTCAGGAGGCAGAAACAGGGATGTGCACACTGTAGAGTGAAGGGCTTTCATTCAGCACAAGCTGGGTCCTACGTTTGTAGACCCCACTGAAATCATCTTGAGCACCACGGCCAACAATGTCATCTCAGGAGGGGGGGTCCCGAGTATGTGCTCAGCAAAAGTTCGAGGGGAATGATCCTGGCCATAGGAAATATTATGATGAAAACCTTCCAGGACGAAAAGCTACGGCATGGGGAATATCCTCATGGCTGAGCTGGGAAGATAAGGGCCATGGCTGGTGTCGGAAAGACTTGTCCCAGTATCCAGCCTTGCCCTTCTCTTCCCACCTAACTTCGGACAAACCTCAAGGCTTCTGCGGTCCCCTCAAGGCCAGTGGGAACTGAGAGGTACCTCCATGTCCTTCTAAGAAGGATGTCTGCGTCCAGTGAGTTATCCAGGACTGGATGCATTTGCTTGGGAGCCACCTGGACTCAAATGCAGTCTCCTTTGGGAGAGTACCACATGGGTGGTACATCCCACAGGCCCCTCTGTCTTAACTGGTCACCCAGGCTTCTTTGAGGAGAGAAACAGGTGACCATGGGGTGTGGTTTGCAGAAGGGACCATTCTGCACTCGTCCAGCCCTGGTAGGGCCCACCAGGAATAAGCTGCTCTGCAGATTGCCCTGCTTGGAGCAGAATGGTGGCATCTTGAATGGCCTTGGCTTCCCCAGCAGTCCACCCTTGAAGCATAGACAGTCGTGATGCACCAGATGGTGCATGGATGTGGGCATTGAATGGCCATGACCAGTTCAAAGATGCTACAGCACTGAGGGGACTGTGCCTGATGGTGACAGGATCTTAGCAGAAGCTTTCTTTGTATCTCCTTTCCTGAATTATACGATCACAAAACAATGTAGATTGGAAGGGATCTCTGGAGAGCTCTGCTCTAATCTTCCACTCTCTATTAGACCAACTAGACCATGTTGTTCATGGCCTTGACCAGTGAAGATGTGAAAGTCCCCAAGGATGGAGAACCAAATGCCTTTCTTGTCTCTGTTACAATATTTTACCATCCTCATGGGGGAAAAGAGTATTTTCCAATGCCTAATGGGAATTTGCCACGGCACACACTGTGCCCATTTCCTCACGTCCTTGTGATGTCCATTCATCTCCTGAATTAGCTCTGGATGAAGAGATGGTTGCTTTCTCCCCACAGGCTCTGTCACCATCAGACCTCCGCAGCCTCTGCCGCTGCTCCCATTGCTGGTCTCGACCATCCCTCCAGTCTCAATGCTGGTCTGTGGGGCTCTTCTGTACCAGAGGAGGCGGCAAATGCAAAATAGGGCTTTTAATTCCCCCCTAGGTGAGCTCTGCTGCAGGTGAAGAGGGCAACGGAGTTTGCAGAAGCAGCATGTGGTTGGAAACAAGTTTTGTTCAAAACGTTGATGTCAGCAGAGTTGGGGCAGAAGTTTTTTTCCCCGTGGCTCGTGTTGAGAAGAACTTCCTTTTCTGATTTGATCGCTTCTCTCCCCACCCCCTTCCCCTTTCTTTTTCTTGCCACTCTTCCCCTTTCACTTCGGCACCATCTTCCCTGCTGGGTTACGGACACGCTGGGAGGTGGGCAGCCCTTGAAGCCTCCTTGAACACTGCCTGAACTTCCCTCTACTGCCTGTGCTGTCTGTACATCAGACAGGAGCCCTGAGCAGAGGACGGCTCTACGGGTTCCTAGCTCCCCGTTGGCAAGGGATGTTCCACCTTTAGCCCAAGGGGTGAGAAAAGACCAGGAATTGTGTCTGTTCCTGAAGTTTTAGGGCTGTGGTGGAGACTCTTGGAAAGTGGGGTTGAGCGGTTGGGGTTGCCCGTGTTGAACACCCCCATGTTGTCTTGTTGAACATCCATCATGTTGATGAAAGGTGTTGTGTGTGGTCCAAATGCTGGATCAAGGGCAGTTTCTGCAAAGCAGGCTTCACGTCTGAGTGCTGGCAGGGGTGATGGTGGTACGCCCTGTGCTGCCACTGTTGTTGGCCAAGCCAAAGTGATTTGTGCCATCTCCAACAGGGTGAACATCCTCAGTAGGTCTTGTTAACAAGGGGAAAATTCAGGCCGCATGGAGCAAACCATCGACTGAATCACCATGCTCCGCAGGTTTTGTGCGCAGGGAGTAGCTGGTTGTCTCTGACACGTCCATCTCGATGGCTGGCGAACAGCAAGCAGCAGCCAAGGTGGCTCCTGCTGGGGATGCCAGCAACAAGAGAGCTCAGTGCAGCCTGTGACGAACCCAGACCTAAAACTCCAGTGATGAAGCTCCGTCCCACCACACAGCTCTTTCACCAAGAGCTCTGGACCACCTCGTCTCTACAGAGCTAGGTCACTAGATCCACCACCCATCTCCATGCCTGCCTTGGTCAGTCACCACGAGCGATACAAGGTGTGACACACACCGTGCGGCACCAACGATCTGCACGCAGAAGACATTTGATGCATAGAAATATTTCAGGTTCCCTCTTTCAATTTTTTTTTTCATGCATTTGTGAAAATAAAAACATTCTGTAAGACTCGAGCAGTGTTTTACTGTTGGAGGATTTTTCATTGGAGGTTTTTTTTTTCTTCTTTTTTTTTTCTAGCCAGTCAGTGGAGGCTGCGAAATTTACCCTGAAGTATAAGCCAGCACTTGTTTCCCTCCCATGGGTAAGGTGGACA